CCACCACGCCAAAGAAATGACTAAAATACCCCCTCCTTCCCATGCTTGGCCATGGAGAAAGGATGCGACTGGCCCACCCGCTTCCCCGGGCTGAGATAAGGACTCGAGCACGCTCTGCCTGCGGCAAGGAAAGGAAAGCGTGACATTGCAAAGCTACGTTTTGGGAATATGCTGAAGCAGAGAAGGGTTTGTAGTGGGTTGTTTTTTTTTCTCATTTTCTTGAGGGAAAGACACTGCCTCATTTGTACCTGGTAGGGGTCCTGTTATTTTTGCACCAAGATGCATGTTTTCAAGGCGGCTGTGCCAAACACGCAAACAAATCAGCTCAGAGAGTTCCTACCCACCATGCAGGGAATCAAAAAATATTACTTTTATATATACACACATACAAGCACATCATCTCCCATCGCTTTGAGAAAGCAGGAGAAACCAGGGCGCATCAGCGCAAGGGAAATATGAAAAGGAGCTCTCGGCACTAGCTTGAGATGAGCCAAAGTGGGAGCCTGGGATGCGATTTCACCATATCCTGGCCAAGCACACCCAAAACTAGCATCCATCTCCAAGTCCTGCTGCTCCAAAAGCACTGAAACCTCTTTATTCGCATCTTAAATGCCCAAACGGAGCCAGGTGACCCTTTTACCGGGCTATCTGTCCAGCGTTCGCCCATTAAACGCGCATCAAAACCGGTGGCAGATTTACAGGTTAGCAATGATTTAGTGGAGTGCACCGCAGCCAAATTAATGCCGGCTATAATGTAGTTTACCTCATTAAACAATGCACACCAAGATCCTGTCTGTTGTAAAACAATTGGTCTCTGAAGCCTAGTGTTCATCTTCCAGGGTTGCCGGGAGATAATAAATGGGTAATATTCCGGCGATAATGGTAATGGAGTCACGGCTCAGAGCTAATATTATGGCAAAGCAGTAATTATTTCAACAGTAAACAAGGGGACGGTTGAGCTGCCGACAGGATTGGAGCCGGTTGAAATGCTTCAGTTAATTTAGCTGGAGCCCAGGCCTCCCACTGCCTCTTGGAAGGGGGACGAGGTGCCCAGTTGCCGAATGGGTCTCTGTGAGACACCCAGTCACCACAAAACCAGGGGATGCAGGCAACAGGGTGAGGTGGGACATCAGGAACAGCGTGGTGGCCAATCCAACCCAACGAGTATGCACAACCCATCTTTGAGATGCCGCTTGTGTTGCCTCACGCAACATCTCCCCCAGTCCTCCTTTCCTCAAAAAGGTCCCAAACCCCTCATTTCTGCAAGGCTTTGAACCTTTGCTCTGTGTTCATATGACTCCAGATCTGATGTCCGACCCACACATATCCCCCGCCTCCCGTCCAGAAAGGATGCTGGCAAGATGAAGACAGCAAGCGATGCGTTTAATGGACAAACCTCTGAGAAGCGAGGACGTGTTCCTTTCTTGGGTACAAGCAACTCCTCAAGCTATATTTTTTTCCCCAGTTGCTTGTCCTCTTGTTTTAAGCCCCGCCAAGAGCCGGTGAGAATCAATATATCCAAACATACCCGACTTCTCCCAGAGTCCCTGCGCTGGTTTGCTGCTGATGTATAGACAGATGATCTCGTGAGACCCCTGCCACATTAGGCCACTGTGTCTCATCTATCTTAAGTGCATATATGAGCTGTGATTACTGCTGGGTCTGAGCGCCTCACGTCCTGAATGTATTTATCCTCCCATCGGCCCTGTGAGACGAGGGACTACTGTTGTACCTCTTCCAGGGAGGATGCGGAGGTTAAACGGACCCATCACCAGGGATATCCGGGCCATGGTAACATCAGGACCCTCTGAGCGTCTTCCCTGACTCGTGCTTAAGCACCTGGGGGGCACTGAGCCCACAAATCCCAGCTCGGACTGAGCCCAGGACTCCGACTCTGCATGGGATCTATCTTTCAGCACCCAGCCTAATCCTGAGATTAATGAGGGATTCCCGCTATAAAGACCTCTCGATCAGCCCTCTGATGAGTAAATACACCATCAAGCCAAAACGTAACGTTTTCCTACCCTGGCAGCCGCCGTCTTAAGCCTTACACCAGAATCCATCACACTACAGCAATAATCAGAAAGCAATTAGACAAAACCACAGCAGCGAAGTCCATCAAGGGTCGTTAAGAATGACGATTTGGATGCAGCCCCTGGCTCGGGATGGCTGCACGTGGCAGACCAGGGGTAGATGAGCCAGCAGAGGTATCTGCGTGTGCACGCCCAATATTACACCCTTTCCTGGGGTGTAGAAGGGCTGCTGCCCCACAGCATGGATAAATATCCCCCCGTTAACACAACACGGTGCTGATCGCTCTGCTAGTGAGCAGCCCCGTGCGCTTCGGCATCGTCCTGTGCCCGGGATGCTGTGCTTAATCCTAGCCAAGAAATCCCAGCCCAGAGAGATGAAAACCAGCCTGGAAACGTGGCCATCGCCATGACAACATCAGAGTTACCCCAAAAAATAAATAAAGAGCTCAGTAACTATGGAAACACCTGAGTGACCCAAGCCAGGCTGTTAACTAGAAGACCTCTCCGCAGATGGCATCGGCACCATAAGGCTGGGGACCGGAATGCATCCAAAGCCTTTAAAACAGAGATGCTCATCACCTATGGATGCAAACACGAAGGCGTGGGCACACACACAGCGTGACCATTCAGACCCCAGTGTCCAGCCTATCTCAGTTCCCAAAACCCTTCTCCATCATGCATGACCATGAGGATGGGCAAAATCCTGAGTAAATCCTCTAAAGGACCTGACCACAAACACTCTCCTTTGCTCCGCTTCCCACCAAGAGCCGCACAGCGGGCTTATAGCTGCCAAGAAAATAATAATCAAGCCCGTGAAGTGCCTTTGCACAGAGGAGCCCTCGCTGGCGTAGGCATGGGGACCGGCTCCTTCAGCTCCCGGCCTGTCCGTGCCTGGCACGGAGCGTGCTATCAAAGCCTCTCCCCAGCGACGCCGCTGAGAGCCGCATACCCATCCGCTACGTAAACCCTTCAATTATGCACCAGCTTTCCCTCAACCAATCCTCCCCGGCCCCTTCTCTCCACCGCGCCAAGCGAGACGGAGAAAGACGGCAAGAAGGATGAGGAGGCTCGCTCGAGTCTTCCCTGGGGATCCTGGGTCCCTGCTCGCTCCTGGCTCTCCAAATTAAGAGTTTATCCTGCTAGAGAAAGGGTTACCATCACAGCATCTGCTGCAGCACCTGCCCTGGCTCTTGTTTTCTGATCCTCCTCTCTCCTATGTGCACTGAATGCAAAACGGAGAAGGAGAGGGCCCCCTCGGTGCTTGGCAGAGCCGGAGAGAGAAACTGAGGCGCCGCCTATGGAGACGGGCAGACATCGGAGTCGTCTCTGGCCACCCCTGGGCTCAGCACCCTCCGTCAGCAGGAGGTCAGATTCCAGTAAATCTCTGCCATCATTTGTTCCCTAGGAGTTTGGAAAGCAGAATGCCTAATCATGGCCCAAATCAGGTAAGAGCTGCTGCTGCAAATTACACAGCGCCACAGGTAATTTCTGATTAGCTCACTCTTCCTCTCCTGGTGCATCCTCAGTTTCCATAGCAGCTAAGTCCTAAGTAAAATGGAAACATCTGGTTCAAGCGCAGGTAAAGATTCCCTGGGGAAAGAAACCTGCTTTATGGCAGCAAACACAGAAAACAGCCCTGGCGAAAGGCAGAGGCACGAGAAGGTTGGAGCCTGGTTAGAAGAGGATGGATGGGAGATGGGAGAAGGCAGCGAGGGGGACAGGAGTGGGAGAGGAGGGTCCTGGGGAGCAGGAGGGGATGCGGGAAAAGACGGATGCGAAAAACAGGTGGTGAGGTTGAGTGAGATGAGAGGGAGAGGAGAAAGAAGAAAAGGCTTCGAGGTGGACACATGGACAGCCTCAAGCATAAACGCTTCCTGATGGTGACAGATACAGTGACAGCAACATCCATGCCACAGACAGATGCTTGGGCCAGAGACGAGCACACGGATTTCATCACTCATCCACGCACAGACCCCAACTGGAGGCCACCCCGTTTGAGACACGGCCACCCAAGGCGGAGGAGCCAACGTGTGCACCGGGAAATGGTTTTTACAGAGGCTCCTGTCAAGGGAACGGGGCTGAGATGCCCCTGACTCAGCTCCGTCTGTGCCTGGGCTGCAGAGAGTGATGGATCTGGCCCAGCACTGCGCTACAGTGCAGACAAATACCACAAGAAAATCAATGGAGCTGCACTGAGACACCGCAGCCGTTGTCAGGCGGCTGAACAGAGAGCACGGACACGGCACCATCCATCACCGCTCCTTCGGCTGCAGGACAGCCCGGCCGGGGCGTCCCCGAGGAGAACTGGAGGCCCATACTGGTAAATCCTCAGGGAATTGAACCTCAGAGGTTGAACACAAGCGCTCGGATGTGATCGGAGCATCAGAGCCAGGCACTGCCCCTTGGCCGGATGGCTCAGCCCACACAAAGCCCCCCGAGCTCACCCCCAGTGAGAACCTGGGGCTAACAGGGCAGCAAAACGCCAAACAAATGCCAAAAACCAGCAGGGAAAGGGGTTTGAAATACTACGCTCCTGAATGGGCACGTATGGGAATTTGCTTCCCAGCAGTCACACCCACGCAGTTCTGCTCAGGTTCTGTTTACCAATTAACAAGGCCACCAATTAGTGCTTGGTGTGTTTTCCTGCTCATTTGCGCTATTTACAGCCCTCCTTTGAAGCAACGTGCGAGAATTCCCCGAAAACTTCTCAGAACAGGGCCGGGCAAGCACATTCAATCTCTACGCACGACAAGCCCAAGCCTACTACCAGTTCACACCAGCAAAACCATTAAGCTCTTCTCCTCGACCACCAGATTGGATGTTTCTCCACCAGAGTCATCAAGTCTTACATTAAATGATGTCTTTTCGGTGCAAACCGCATTTTCTGCAAGATAAACCACCCAATGACACGCTCGCAAACGGCCCTGTGCCCTCCCCAGAATATTTGGGGTAATATTTGGCTCTTACCTTTGGGTGAGATGTGTCTCCAGGTGATTGTAGGGTCTGGCCTGCCCGTGGCTATGCAGGTGAGGCTGACGTTGCCGCCCTCGTTGATGGAGATGTCGGAAGAGATCTGGGTGATTTTCGGAGACACTGCAATGACGCAAAGAGGGAAATATGAACATGCAACCGGGGCTGTTCCTACTCAAACCTCAAAATTTGGGGGAAGGAGGGTGGATTCCCGTCCACCTTTACAAGCTGGGCATGAAGACAACAAATCTACCGAGGAGCGCAAAGGAAGGGAAATTCAATTGGGATGAAAGCCAGGGTGAACATACAGGGCAGACACAAGACCCAAAGAGGGGACACACATACGGGGTCGGGAGGTGACGAGAAGGGGTGAGGAGAAAGCAGGGACCGCTTTGCCCCGCTGCTGCATGGATGCAGGATGCGATGTGGCTGTTGAGGAGGTTTCCAAGAGACAAACGATGGGCTGCTGTTATCAGCCTGCACCTGCACAACATAATAAAGACCATCACCTCCCTGGGTTTATTTTTTTCAGCCTAGCAGCGGATTGGCACCCCTCTGCGCCGCTTCGCAGCACAGTCACAAATCACTCCCAAAGCATCCTGCTCCTTCCACCCTCCCTTGTCCATCGACCTGCCAGGACCTGCATCCCACATCACTGCAACACCCCTATCCCAACCAGGACCCCTCTCCCGAGCATCCCTTCCCTCTCTCTCCCCACTTTCCCGAGCCGGAATGACTGCAATGGCCTTGCACGCATTGCCTCTGCTGTGCAGGTAAGTAATTTATTGATCCGTAAAGCACTCCAAGACGCTCTGGAAGGGATTATGTCATGCCAGTGCCGTGCAATAAAATAAAAAATGATGGATTTTTTGTGAACAGGAGGGTGATTTAGGGTTTGTAGTTGGAAGTGTAGTTAAAGTACATTTTAAGTGGAAATCAAGGTGGGTAATGAATTATTCTCTGTTTTGAAGGGCTTCTGGGAGTCCATTTTTTTGCTGCTCTGGGCACAGCGGCCAATCTGCTAATCACGCACCGGAGGACAACTACGGATCAGGCGCTCCAAAACCAGTGGGGGCTATGGGGCAGGACAGCAGAGGGCAAGAAGATGACCCCAAAAGCAATATTTATATGCATCAGTGTCAGTAAACCACACATAAGGGGGCAGCACATCCCCCCGGGGACCGCCTGATACTGGAGATGCTCTGCCAACAGCCAGGGAGGCCGTTAAGGAGATGCAATTAATTACGACGACGCTACTGGGACCAGTAGCCAAGAAAGCCCCGTGCTCTTTGAAAAGACCAAGCTTAGAGTCCCGACACCAAAAAATAAGGCACAGAGGTATTGCCGTTACCGTTTTTGGGAGACGGAAAGAGACAAATGGAGGTGCAGCGAGTTGCCCTTCATCACCTGCGAAGGAGCAAAAGCTTCCAGCTGTAAGTCCCGAAAAAAACCAGAGCAATATTTATCATTTCCAACGCGACGCTCGCTAAATCACAGAGGAGCCTTTCTGCTGTGTTTTAACTACCGGATCCGCAGCAACCCAATTCAGCTTGTTTTGCAGAAAAAAATCAAGTCAGGCTTTGCACCCGTCCAGACAAGTGACAAAAATCTGTTCTCAAATCCACTGACCACTAAAACATCATTATAACAAATTAAACTTGGATTTCCCGAAACCTGAGCGTTACATCCTCCTCCTTGGCAAGACAACGGGAGGTTTTAATTTAGGAGAGGGACTGCGTTGCTGCTTGGTGCCGCTCTCTGACACATCCAAAAGCATCTCGAGCTGTCTGTGAGGTGGGGAAGAAGCCCACCCAGTCCCTGGGAAGCAAAGCAGAGCGACAATGCCAACAAAGTCGTTAGCTAAGCCTGAAATTAAATGCGCGGTGGTAGGATTTAACACGACAGTTATTGTATGCTAATTAAACGTTTGAATAATTAACCACAGCCACTATTCAAAATGCCTTTCTGGAGGCTGAACAGGTACGTTGTAAGGCTTTTACCGCACTAGGGAGGGAAGCCTTAATAAATAAGTGATCGCAAGTATATATTCGATATTATTTCGCGGTCACGGGTTCCCTCTGCATTGCAACGCTTTCACCGTCACTTGGCATTGCTGCAACGGGGCAGAGGAGAAATTTCTTATGCCGAACGCAGGACGCAGATGGAGCTGTGCCCCTATGGGAATGAATAAATAAATAAAGCTAAATAAATGCAAGCTTCCCAGGCGGGAACTCTCTCCTTGCGGGCAGTCCTTTTGTGTTCAGCATCTTTCTTGCTCGGAGGTGATTAAACATGGCAGCGTTGGCCAAGCTGCTCCAGTGACACAGCGCAGATTTCCCCCGAGACGGGCCGGTGTTTTATCAATCCCACTACGTCTTTTTCCCCTTATGCTCGCCACGGTGATGGGAAAGGTCCCTGGGAAAGGTCCCTGTGCTGCTCTCACCACATACCCCCAGTTGGCCCGGATTTGGCGCCCGCTCGCGCTCCACGAGGCCCCGGGACAGAAAGCAGCTTTGCTTAAATATTTAACCAAACCATATGGCGCGTTACATGTTGGAGGGTGTTCAGGCAGGTGATATATGTCTTTACTGATCCAAGCATATGCACTTGCCTACACAGATACGTTCCCTGGCGCACAGACACCCTCCTGCCGCTGGCACTGACAAAATCCCCGCTATGCTTTCACCTCCAAACACCCGTCCCGCAGCCAACGCAGGTGCAAAAGCTGCAGCATCCCATGCACGGACCCCTCAGCTCTGCCATCTCCTCTCACCTTTCCTTGCAAGTCAAGATATTCTGGTATTTATTCTTCTTCCTCAGATCCAAAGCCTCTTTCTAGTCCTGCCTTGGCCATTTCATCTTCTGGTGTTTACCAGCAGTGCCTTAAACTGCAGTACTCAGTTTTCTCTCTTGAGTATTTGATCCATGTGATTTTGGGGAGAAAAGCAGGAGAGAACCAGAGGGCTAGGACTGGAGGCAAATACATCAAGGAGGGATATTTGGAAAAAGATGGATGAGAAAGGGACTAGAGAAAGAAATTAAGAGGGATTGAATGGTGCAAGGGGGCAATGAGACCCCTAAGTATTCGGGGAGTGTGGATCTGGAGCAACCCCTCCATCAGAGACAGGAAAGGACATCCCACCAAGCTGACTGTAAAGAGGAACAGCATTTGTTTTGCCTTAACCTTTCTACCCAGTTTTGGGAGCCAAGCAAACAGCACAGAAACCCATGTGTCCCCCTTCCAGCCCGGTGAGCCCAGCAGCGCCACGCTTCCCCCTGATAAAACACGCAAACCTCCACCTTCCAGCACGAGCAACATCTGCTCCACATCAAAGGCAACAACAAAGCACGACCATAAAAGCCTCTCCAAGACAGAAAAGAGAGGGAGATTCAGATTTAGAGTTCTGCAGGCGAGCTGTGATGTGCGCTGGCAGCTCCTGCTTTTAAATAACAGCCTCAGTCCTTCCTGTGCTTTACAGAGCGATGCTACCACGGGTCCTGCCTCCGGGATTTGGCAAAGGGGAGCCCCGGGCATCCCAACCTGCTCGTGATGCTATGAGTGAGACCTCCAGTGAGCCTTCCCCCTCTTCTGTGTTCAAAACCTGGCTGCTTTCTGAAGGAGGCAGAGAGCAAATTAAGAGACAATTACAGGTGTATCATAATGGGCTTTTAAATCACTTTGTGCCACTCTAACGTAACCATAATTAAGAGAAAAGCAGAGAGGGCTTCAGCCATCCGTCCGTCATTATCAACACAGCTCAGGAGCTGGACTGGAGAAGTCCATGGGGTGTGAGGATGGGCAAAGACAACCTCAGAGCCTGCTTCCAGCTACGCTGCTTGGTCACGTAGGCTTACATACAAAAAACAACTACAGGAGCCGATAGTGCTCCTGGGTTTGCACAATTACCCCCGGGTTTGCACAACTGCCCCTTCCCCACCAGCTCTGCCAAGGGACCAAGTTTCCCCTGCGCAAACCTGGCTTCAAAGACGTGAATAAAGCAGCCTGGAAACGGAGAGGACATACATAATGACTTTAATAAGCAATTAATAAATAACTAATGGCAATTGCTCGTTTTAAAGCAAGGCGTAATGAGATGTGTCATACGGCACCGGGATGTGGCTAAATGATTTCCCGAGCAGATAATGGCTCCTGTTGCTGCAAAGCTCTCCCCGAGCTTGGAGGACACCAAATTTTTTACGCCCGTCTCTGCAGCAGGTTATACGGCACGGCACCGTCATAATTCAGAGGAGGAAGGGGGAAACGAGACGTTTCCAATCATTCATTAGTAAAGTATTTGTGAACGCGGGCATAATTCACCGCATAAGCAGCAGGGTTTCTGCAGACAAACTTTATAGCTAAGTGCCAAAAGGGAGCCCAATCTGATTCCACTTACGACAGCATAAATCAGCGCTACTCCTATTGCAGTCGACAAGGGACGCGCAAGAACAAACGTGGCACTAAAGGAGAGCTGGGTCCCCAGCACAAGGACTTTGTTCTGACTTTGGGACGGGTCCCAGCCACCGACCTGGATCCAGATTGCTGCTACTCTATGGAGCCGGGATGCTGCCTGGCCAAATGTGGTCCCCAAGGCTCTTGAAGGGATAAGGAGCTTTCATCCTACCACAAAAAAAAGGAAGAAACGCCTGACACCAAGCCCACAGCTTTGGGGAATCAAGCAAGAGTTTGCTTAGCGTGACTATTAATAAGCAGCTTTATAGAGCAGGCAGGATCCATCACTCACGTTTGAGAGACACAAGTGCTGCTTCCCCGTTATGATACCCCAAGGAAGTCGTGGCACTGCAGTGGACTTGGTTGCCTTCTCTAAAACGCGTCTAATGATGATGAATGGAGAAAGAAAAAAACCCGAAGAGAAGTTTCTGTGTCGCTACCTGTGAAGACACGCAAGGGCTGTGTGGCAGCTCAGCTCCCCGTCTAGACAGATCTCATTTTCAGCTCCACGCACGCCGCGCACAGCCAGCATCTCGTTTCCAAGTTTTGGCACCCCCAGCCACCTGGGATTGCCCCCTGCAAGCCAAGCAACACCTCATAAAAAGCAGAAAATTGAAGGATCTCAGAACCTGAAGACACCTGCACCATCTTTCCTGCGTTATTGACACCTCTC